AAGCCTGTGGCTAGATATTTCAGCAATTGCTATGGCAAGAGGTTAAAGAAAGTGTCCTACAATCTCAAAATTTCATTGTGGTGAGTTTTTTAACCTCGAGTTATTAACAGCACTACAAGACCATAATTACTGAGACATAGAGATAAAAATACTTCCTCTGCTTTCCATTTTTTTTTTACTTTGCATATTTGTTGCTGTTGTATTCACCTCTATTGCACTATTCATTTCTCTCACCATTTTCTCCTCAACTGGAGCACAACAGTCACTGGTTCTCCCATAACCCTATTTAATTTCCTATTTTGTCATTGCATGGTCTTGCCACATTTAACAAACCCTTGCATTGTTTTCCAATTGGAACAAACTGCCCTGGATAGAAAAGTAACTCCCCTTTGAGTGAAATGACAGAGATTGTCTCATACAAACATGCCAGCTTACTCCTGCATGAAAGCCTAGGCAGAGCAAGGGGAAACTGCAGAAAAAAAAATTAAAAAAATAAAAATAAAAATAATAATTAAAAAAAAAATTTAAAAAAAAAAATCAGTTTTTTACTTCTGTCAGCCAAGGAATATACTCCAAGTACCTGAAATAACTCTTCTAGACATGCTAAAATCTGCTACCCTTTTTATATGCATAATGTTTTGTGCCACTTGCACAGTTACTCTTACCTAGAGTTTGGAGTGCTCTTTTATTCCACATAGCTCTGCAAGTAATCAGCATAAAGTTGCACAATCAGATTAATTTTAGAATTCTATAGACTCCCAAGGATTTTGCACCTGGCTCACCCAGCAAGAGCACATTCTTTAAGACATTAAAAAATTCTGGCAATAAAAATACCTGAATTTCAGCAAGAAATTGATATTTTAGTCCTTAGACAAATGTTTTTTCACTAAGTACTGTGAAAAAAAGAAGCCCACCTAATAATAGATCCTATTTCTAGTACTTTTTATTACCTCCAACCCAGTTCTACAACATGAATGGCTGAGTAGCAAAAAAGGACATTTTAAGAGATATGATGAAAATATTTTTTTCTTTAGTCCAGTATAATCATGAGAAAATGGGCTAACAGACTAGCATGCAATTTCAACCTCTGTCTGTGGATAACAGGATCGCATCTTTTCATTTTCTCATCACAGAAAAATCTCAATGTAATCATCAGATGTGATAGTTTCATCCTATTTGTCTGCAAAATACAAAATCTTGTCTTGTAGAAAGATATAAAAGTATTTTATTTTCAAAATGCATTAGTATGTTTCCTATAAGCTTGCAATTTTAGCACCCATTTTCTCCTCTCTCCACTTACAAGCTGGTTAATTGTTGGTCCCTTTCTCCCTGTTTTGGACATCTTAAAAGTTATGTTTAAAAATAATGTTTGCAAGAATTTACCTGTAATAATAACAAAAATTTCCTGGAAAGTTATAGTGAAATCTCAGCTCATTTTGAAAGAAATGGCAGCATAGTCAATACTGAAAAAGAAATACAGAAAGGAGTGGCTTCACTTGCAAATTCTGTTTTAACTAGTCAATCATTATAAGTATTTTCATGAATTTAATAACAGCACCAATATTCAATATTCTGAACCTAATGTAATAAATGAAGGGTGATTATATTACCCAGTTTTAAAAATTGCTTTACATAATGTAATCACTTACTTGCTCTAATTTAATTTCACTTTACATCATTTAATAAATGAATGCTGATCATTTGACATAATTGAATAAGTAGTTCAGTTCATTTTCTGTACTTCTTAGGTCAAAAATTAGGCTGCTTTTTGTCATCTTCCAGGATGGTATTGTGAGATTTAAGAATTAGGTTTCATTTCTTCTCTCCACTTCTTGATTACCATTGTGTAATAATTCCACTCTGTAAGAAGGAACCTAGCCCAGCCCTACAAGATGAATTTTTCAAGAAAATACACAGCATAACACTGCAACCTCCTGCTTCATTTTACAGGGAAGGGGGGGGGGAATCACCTGAAAAACTTACCAGACTATAAAAGCCATAATTTCAATTAAAGAGTAACTTTAAGTAATTTGACAATACCTGTATGAGGTAGGCAGGGACTGAGTTTTGAATCACTTTCTAGCAAAGCCCAGATCTTTCTATTTTGTGAGAGAGAATTTAATATTAAACTGAAAAGACAATAGATTTAATGAAGAACAACTCATAATTCAGAATCTGAATTATGTTCTACTCAGTTAAGTCAGGCTATCATTTACAATAAGTGAAAAAGAAATAAAAAAAAGGCAGACTTCTAGGAAAAAAAGACAGGAAGAAAGAAAGAGAGTTGTGAAAGGGCTGCAATAATGATTTTTACCTTTCTGGAATAATTTTGCCTTTCTGACTTGCCTTCTAAGAAAGGCAAAGTGTAATCACCAATTCAGTCATGGAATATAATGGATTATATATATACATGTATAAAAATAAATATATGTATATACATCTTTATGTATATAAACTCTGCAAAAGAGTAATCACAGATATATTCCCAGCTTTGCGCTGGACATCAGTTCCTCCCCTTCAAATCCAAAGCAACACAGTTTTCAGAGATGTTGACTGTAAGTCATCTGCTGCCTCCCTATACAACTGCTCATTTTTTCAGATTACGAAAAACATCTGGTGATCCTTTCAGAATGAAGCATGTAATGCATAGATTGCAATAGTACCCAAAGATTTATGTATCTTATAAGACAGAAATAGAGTGCAGTTACTTAGAAATAGCACCATTTTTATTTCAAAAGAAGTTATTTCTGTCCAGAAGTAACTATTCAGAATCAAACTGCCCAGTGCCAGAGGGGTAATAAATCTATTGTTTTGCCCTGTAAGTCTGTACTAAAAACCATTTGTAGCAGTAGAGTGTCTGTCTCATGTGTCCTCACACTTCTTGCCAGGTTTAAGATCTTCTCTTCTGGACTAGTATACAGGGGAAAAAAATAACTACTAAAAGTAATTTCATATAGTTAAGCCCAGAGATTTCTTTTATTTCATATTTATCTTATAATTTTCTTGGTACAGTAAAAGTAAAGGGAGCATGCATGACCTTGACTTTTAGCAGATTGAAAAGTAGATGAGGATATCCACATAAGTAATTCTCTTTAATCACCCTAAAATTACTACTTTCCATTTAGTGATGAAAAATATGTGCATTCCACTTCGAGAGACTCTGACTCAGAAACTGTTAAAGAAGTCATGAGGTATAAGATCTGAGAAGAAAAATATCCTGTTCAATGAAGGGATATGGCAAAAAGATACTACATTCACTCCATTCTTCCACTTTCCTTTCTTCAGCAAACTCTTTCTTCCTGGGCCAGTTGCTGTCACTTTATTTTCACTGCATCTTTGTAGTGTCATAGCAATAAATTTGCATTACAAAACATTTATGTCTCAGGGTACCACAAAACCCCTATTGTGGTTCTTAACTAGACAAACTTCATTCATTGCTATAGACATCCCATGTCAAGCAATATGAAAGAAATGTTTCATTCTACTATATGTTTCTCAAAGACACAACTATTTTCCTTTATTTACTTTGGAACATTCCCAATGACTTAGTTATGTTCCTTTATCTAAACCAATACCTTAATTGTTTGGGGTGTTTTGGGGAGGTTCTTTGGGGCATTTTTTATGGTTTTGTTTGGTTTGTGGCTTGTTTTGTTTTTTTAAAGGAAGCAGCCCTGCAGTATATTTCATGTTTGATTTTCACATAGTCAATAATTAGCACACAAGAACTGAAATATGTCCTCTGATTTTTTTTCTTTCCCCTCATGCAAATCAATAACTGGTGATTTAGGGTCTGAAATTTGTCATAGGGTATACCTGAAATTTGGTTGAAAACTCAGAGCAATAATGATTTAGCTGACTATGGCTTCAAGTGCTAAGAGAGTTGCCTAGTCCAGCAGTTTCTGTAACTCAGGCATTTTCCTTGTTTCCAGTCTGATAAAACCTAATGTGTTGTGCTTGTAGGCCCTGGAGATTCCCTACATACACTAACTAGGGGATAAAGCTGCTGGAGTTCCTGTTCTCAGGTCAGTAGTGAGGCTCAGGGCATTTCCTAAACAGACACGTATGTACAAGCACCGATCCACAGTCCTACACAGGTAGAGCAGAGCCTTTACCAGTACTTTTCTAAACATCAATAGCACTGCCATAAACAAGCATATGAGTAGCCCACATGTTAAATTAGCCCATTTCATCATATGCAGACTGGAGTGAGACTGACAGAAAATGGATAAGAGGATTTACTAGGAGTAGGACTGGCATTCCTTAACAAAAAGCTGTATTGCTGTTGTCATTCAAGCCCTCATATGACCCACCATGACTTTTCCAGCAAAAATAATTGACTCATTCCTTGCTCTGTCATGAGATAAATTAATAAATAGACAGACTTTCTTCTTCTTTAATATGGGAATTGTTCCTGTGCAACTCCCAAGACTGCTATACATCTTGCTGCATATCATCTTATTAGTTACTCTGTGGCTGTCAAACCTATTTAGATTGTACCCTCATGCCCTTTCAAAAACTGACATATATTTCCACCGAAGAGTAAGTTAGTTCTTGAACGTTTCTCTCTATGTGAAGGAGAAAAAGAAAGAAAATATATTAAACTTTATTCAAAAACCTTCTTGTAGAAAAACCAAAGCATTTAATACAAGTTTGAAGATGGATAAGTCTATACATTAATTACTTTTCAAGATTCTACTACAGAAGAGATTCAATCCAAGACCTCAGGTCATGACCTCACAACCAGTAGCCCTGAGCAAGATATGACTTTTCTTACTGCTTTACCCACACTCACATACAGTAGTTTTGAGTATCCACATGATAAAGTCCATCCCCAGCAATTAAGTTTTTTGAATACAGGAGGACTGTTGAAAAAGAACTATTGGAGAACTGATCTAATATCATGCCATTAAAAAAAAAAAAAAAAAATCCAGCAGTGATCAATTAGTTTGATTTACTTGCAAATATTTTTTTTTTAAATTTGTCTTCCAGTGCAGCCACAGAGGAGTACCAAGGAGCCATGCAGCAGGTTCAGCAAAACAGCCAGTGCCTTCAGTCCTATGAGAAGGTATCTGAGTCCAGAAATCGGAGGTCATGGAATGGCTGATGCCTCATGAGGATGCCATTGCTAACAGCAGCCAACAGCTTCAAGATGCTTAACACAGTACAACACCAAAACACATACAGCATGACAAACCACAACTGGTCTTCTAGCTTCTTCAGACAGCCTTCCTGAGAAAGCTGCTCCAGATGGCTTAAGTGTCCCCTGCAGTGAGAATACTTCTCCTTACAGCAGCTTTCAGGGACACAAGGTGTAAGATGCCAAGAAGCAACTCTTGCCTTCAGCCAGTCTGTGTAGTTGTGGACCCCGCAACACTGCAGCTTCCTCTGCATCACATCAACAGCCCTATTTCCAGGACCCTGGGAGCATGACCCATTGTGCTGATAGATAAGGTGACCCATAGCACTTTCCAGCTGAGAAGCCGCCCTAATAGAGTAGACATGTGCCAGAACTGCTGAAGACGTTTCTAGGCAAACAAGGAGCAACAGCAGGTACATGAAAGTCCCTTGCCGATTGCGGGAGCTCCTGATAGAAATAGAGACAGCCAAAACTCCAGTAGGTAGCAAGATAAGTGCAGCTGCAATAGCCAACCAACCAGGGAGAGACAAGTAAGACTCCTGAAATAAGTATCTGTAGTTCTTAAACATCAGGATCACCAAAACTCCACCAAATGCCTGAGCTGCAGCAGTGCCCCAGAAGACAAAGCCTAGAAATCTCAGGAGAGCTTGAGCAGAGGACCTGAGCCAAGGATCCTCACAGCACCACAAAGATGGCAGCATCACCACAGCCCTAACCCTCCTCACTATGCTCATTCCCACAAGACCTGACCCTTACCATCAGTATTTAAGAGGCTTCCACCTCACTCATTCAGGTGCAGCAGATGACATCTCCACCCAAAAACACCTTGAAAGGAAGCAACACTGATGAGACTTCTCCATAAAAAGTCTACACCCTGCATCAGTTTAACCACATGCTGCTGCTGCACCTTTTTCATTGCAGCCTGCAAAAACCAGGAGAGTATGTACCCAGCTTGCTGTAGAGTGGTCCCTCACACTGTTGTCACTGGAGACACTTGAAGGAGGAGGGCAGCTGGAAAAAGGTTGCACCACTCTCATGTGTGGAAAAGCTAAATGTAGAGACATAGTCAGGGCGGTAGCCAACAGTGCTAATTCAGATCACTTAGACTGCCCGATTCTACAGCAGTAGCCAAGATGGCAACAAATGCACAAGTCGGAGTCATCAACAAAGGAATAGTTTAAGCAGAGTTATTCAGTCAGGAATTTCCACAGGTGACACTCATCTAGGCTCATTATCCTCCCCAACACCTTTATCATTCATTCAATTATATAAGGGCCATAATGATGTTATTTTGCCCTTTTTCACTCTGCGAGATTTCTCTCTGGATAGCTTCAATTACTCAAGTCACCTGGATGAGAAATCCCTACCATTTCACACCTGTACCCCTCAGCTTGCATTACCAGTGACTTGACTGACTGCTATAATGACTGAATTCAAGCCACAGTAAGTACTGTATTAACTTTTCCTTGTGCATAAAGAAACTGAATTACACACCAGCTGAATCACTACACAACAATCCCAAAGGGAATTAACATCACTTATCAGCATTACCAAAAGAGCATTATTACTCAAACTTGTGATACACATAAGGCAAGCAGGATAGGTAACCTGCATAAATCTTTCCACAGGTGCCAGGAAGGCAGACCCCAAGTCCAACAGTAATTCCCTAATCACCTTGATGAAGTCCCTTAACATCTCTTCTGCTTTTGGAGATATAGAGCAGGGCTAATACCACAGGCACCCATAAGGGAGAATGCAGAGAGATGATCCTCATTTTCAGAAACATGAGCACCTGCAAACATGGCAGAAAATCAGAATAAATTGGAGATTAGATCCCTAGAACCCTGTAAAAGTCTCAGCAAGGCTGATGATCTTACATCTGTCAGACATTTTACAAGAACCTATTGCTATTATATACACTACGCACACACAGATGTTGGATGGATTTCCATCAAAATCTCTTTCTATGTGCTGTACAAACAAGTTATTAAGGCTAATTATTTTGGAATTAGATAAATTGCTTTTATTATTTTTAATCTTTTCATTAACAGTAATTAGCATGCAGTGATTAACTTGTTAAATCTTAACCAAATGCTTCTTTCAAAGCTGCTCTAGGATGTATGCCTTCCTGCAACTGTTCTCTGAATTCTTTGTCTGCCCTCTCTCCTGCTCAGCCTGCTGCTACCCCCCCCAGCCCTCCTGCTGTGTTAGTTTTGCTGCCATTCGCTTCTTTTGTTGAATGTTTTTTTCTCTGATTTCTGTCTTCTGCATCAGAGAGAGGGAGAAGAGGGGGAGCAGAATTTCGCCTCACATCTGCACACACAAGCAAGCTACACCGATTTCATGTTTCCATGTTGCAGAAAAGCTCATCAGAAAAGTGTGAGAAAACATATCAGAAACATATCAGAATATACTGTGAAGAGTACTCATTTTTAGCTTGCAAGCTTTGCAAAAAAAAAAAACACACAAACCTGCTTCTTTTCCTTTCTGCCTTCCCCCATGTTCATAAAGCTAAATGAGGTATTAAGAAATGAGTTACAACATTATTTACCTTTAGATTATTCCACATCTCTGTTCATAGCAGAACAAGCGGACTAGAGATCACCCCTGCCTGCCAGTTCACCAGCATTAAAAACTGACTGGGACCCAGTCCCCAGGTAAGAACTCTCAGCACCCACTGCCTACAGGGGGGATAGAGCACACTCAGCACCATAAAAAAGGAAACTTCAGCAGAGGGGATTAATATTAGCTGAGTTATCTAAAACCTCTCACCCACTTCGTGCTACGCAATTCCTGGGCACTCAGGAAAAGAAAGCTTCTGTTCAAAATGTAAGATGAAGGACAAGAAAACCAGAACTGGTCCCTGAAGTACCCAAAAAAACCTAACTGGCACCCTCAATAGCACTGCCTTTGTGCTAAGTAATTATACCTCTGTGTGTGGACAGAAGCTTGAAAAAAGCAATGAGCAGAGCTATCCATCAAGAGACTGTAATGTGACAAAGAGAGTATAGGTATGACTGAATAGGAATGCTTCTCTGTTTTCTTTCCAGTGGTAAACAGCATAGTATGATAAATACTGTCCCTGTTTTCTCTGAAGTTGTTTCTACTTATGAACTGATGAGTATTGAAATTCAAATATGGGTGGAAAAAAATAATATATTGTAGATAAACTATTCTCTGGAATGTTGCTGAAAGCATAATCCTTCAAGTTAATAAAATGTCAACTATATTTTTTTTTTCATTCACTGCTCTAGAAAACTGTGACTGACATTAAACAGCTCTGATGTGCCCAGAAGGTCAAAGAGGTTCAATCCATCTGAGTCCAGGAGTGGGACCGGACGGCCATCAGGTCAACTTTGTGTTTGTGCAAATATAACATAGGCTGATGACTAAACTTATCTTGGGTAGCACAGACTGTCATATGGATTGATCAGGGAGCACATCTGAGCTGTAATGGGCAACAATTCAAACCAGTATGGCCAGCTAGTCTGTTCAGACTTGTGTGAACAAGATGAAACCTAGAGGTGGCCATGGCATCAGAGTAGTTACACAAGCCCATCTCAGAATTATTGTCAAGTAAGATAGCACACAGGTACCTCCGAAATGCTAGGCAGTGGAAGGATTTCAGGAAAATTTATTCCAAAGTCGAGAAAGCTAGACTTACCAGGAAAGTATTCCTACTGCTACAAAGACACTGGCCTGAGAAACACACACCTCCTGTTCTCCTCAGGGCTCTATGTTCGCTGTCCTTTCCCCAGGCCCTCCCCAACTCAAGGCCTGTAACGTCTGTGAGGGTTTATCTCTCCTCATGCCAGAGAGAGAGCCTGAAAGCTTCCTCGGAATGCAGAGACTAAAAACATCCAACCATCTTTGAAAAAGGGGCTTCTTCCTAGTCGGGAGAGTGTTCATAAGTGAAATGAGCTCTAACCTCCTGGCTATAAATCTTCCAGAAAGTTTATCTACACTTACAATTATAGAGTGATAGAATCATAGAGTGACATAACAGTTTGGGTTGGAAAGGACCTTATAGATTGTCTAGTCCCAAGCCCCCTGCCATGGGCAAGGAATCTTCCACTAGACCAGACTCGACAATCTTCTAAGTTTCATACAGACCTCATATAAAAAGAGACAAGATCTCAAAGCCTTGGGCACTGCTCTCATTGTCACAGTGACTAATTAGAATCGCAAACAAACCCTAATGCTGTCTCAGTATTTCCCCTGTGACCTGTGCACACATGAAGCTATTGCAGCTGGACCTTGCAGGTGAAGTTAAAGCACTCTGAAAGAAGTTTATCTTCGGAGTTAGAACATTTTTGAAGGTCTTGTAGATTAAAGCACAATTACAGCGTAGGATATGACTTTAAAGCTTTACTAAAACATAGAGGTTTTTGTCAGCTTCATCTGCTCCACTTTTACATTAAGCTTCTCCACCACTACCCACCTTCCTGACACCTTCACTGGTGGAAACTGGTGTGTGACCCACTCGGGCTGGCAAATCCAGAAAAAGTCTAAATGTGTACCATTGGTATCACTCCTCCCTTCCCTGGTCCCAACCCCGTCTGCTGGCCCAGGCAGTATATCTTTCCCAAGTTAAAAAGACTTCCCACATAGTTTTTCTAGTTTCCAAGAAAAGCCCTGGCTCCATGCAAAGTGGCAAAAAAAAGTAGTTATGGGGGACGGGGATGGGGGGGGAGAAAACTAAACCAAACTAAACCAAACTTTAATTCCTCTCGATCAGGTTATTCGAGCTATGATAGGTATTCAAAATACCACACAGCAGAAGGACTGGGTACCAATCAGAGACCTATTTTTTTTAAAAAAATGAAATTTGCTGAGTACATTGGCTTTTTGAGAATAAAAACACTGTTTTATGAAATATATCATAATACAGGATCACTCAGACAGTTCAAATGCAGGAAGATGAACAAACCTGGTTGGACCCTGACTTTACAGTTGCAGCCATTCACAACCAGTTGCCATAGTAACCAAAATCAGATGATGTTGCTTTGCATGAGACTAATACCTCCCATGGAAAGCTTGAAGCAAACAGAGGACATATGATTACCACTTTCTATTCAGGGGAAAATATACTCCCCTCAGGCACTGATCTACGATTATGGGGATGTTTGAACTCAAGTCGGTCAGATGTTTACCTCTAGCTCCGTTTGCCAGACCAAAAGTGGCCTCTTTTGTGATTGAAGAAGCACATCAAATGCTTTCAGAATTTTTTGTTTTGCTTTTAACATTCCAGGTTTTCATTGGTGTTGAAAATATTAAAAACCAAATATCAAAAGTTTGCTGTTTTCATGTATTTCCCTCTTTCCTTCCTTTTATAAATTTAACATAAAATAAAAGACTAAAACCTTTTTCTTCTTTTCTTGTTAAATTTCATTTTTCCCTTCCTATTTTTGTTTGACAGCCTAGAATTGCTATGAAATTTCTTATGACTGGGATGAATACAGACTATCAAAGGAAGAAAAAAGGAGGGGAGAAAAACCCCAATACCTTCTGTATTTCTGTCACTTTGGAATTTGAAGAAGATTTTAAAATACACAGAATGGCAAAAGAAAAAAGAAGGTGAAATGAAAGGGGAACTTCTGAGTTTTTTAATAGCCTTTATTTTATTGCAGTTGATAACAAAAACAGATCTGAAGAAAAGATACTTTGTAAAACCTTCAAAAAATTACAAAAGGACAAAACACTGTGAAATTCAAGTCACCTTGACATTTAAAGTATTTTGTGACTTTTTTTCATTGTTTTCAACCATCACTAGCTACAATATTATTCATGTGAATGCAGTGCTCTCATTTGTGTTTGAAACCACATGCAAGGTTTCTGGGCATTTTCTGAAGTTCTAAAAATGCTTTTAATATGAAATAACCCTTTAATTGTTAACTCACGAAAATAGCCAACACATTTCTCTTTAGGGAGGAAGTCAGGAGTGCCTGAATACATTATCTGGAAGTTATTAAAGAGCTGACAAGAAGCTTACACTTGTCAGAACTTCCCATGAGTAAAGATTCTTCTCTGTTAGGTCTCCTCAGAAAAAGGAATCCTTGTAAAATTCTTTTTCCTCTAGAGAAGGCTTTCATGCAAAATTGGGCTGGAGCCCCGCTGGGCCAGCTTTCTCCACAGTATCACCTGTGAAAACTCAGGCAGGTCTCGGCAATGCATAGGTTTCTACTTGTGACTCTTTTGCCCAAAAAGTGAATGAATCTAGCTGCATGGCCACGAAGCAGCCAGTTGTGAATAAAAATTTGGATATCTTTGTTTCATATTAAT